GCAGAATTTTCCAAACACGCCACGCACCTTCTTCCACTGCATGTGTGAATGGCCTTCGTAGCCGAGTAGACCCGATGGCCAAGGCAGCGCCACCATCACTAGGTTAAATATGATTATCACCATTGTTAGACCTTTGTTTCATATCAATGTTAGGATCAATGGTATAGCTGCATAGGAACATCCTATTGCACTTGCCACCACAAAGTACCGAAAAACAAGTATCCAATTTTTGATAACAAGAATCCAAAGTCTTATTCCTATCTATTTATGAAAATTATACAAGTATTAAGCACGTAAGACACGTATTTAAAATATATTAGCTTAAATTTTTAGACAATATGCAATCTCACAATCAGCAAAAGACTAAGGGAGTAGATGAAGTACGTACACGAAGGCAAACATGTGATGCCATTTGGCAGCAATGACAACAAAATTATCGAAACTATCTTCGTTTGCTTATCAACTCCGACAAGTACCGCTGCCACAAGTGTCAATCCCAAAGTCAAAAACCTCAAAACAAAATCCTATCCCCTCATTCTTCTTTTATTAGCCACCACCACTTCCTTCCCTTTGCCCCCTATTCTGCCGTAGCCGCCACCTTGAACTTCCATTTTTTCCCTATTGAAAAGTTCCATAGGATGAGAGACGAGATTAAGGAAAGTATGACCTCTCACTCTCTCTTGTCTCTCTATACACGTATGTATATATCTACATTTATAGTGTGGTAATGATCGTGAAGGTTAATGATGGACCCAGAAACATGATTCAGTGGGGATGAGACAAAATTATGTAAAAATTATATATTAAAAACTTATAATTATGTGAACTACTTTGTAAGTGTCCAATGGGTGCAATTGTACCCTCCGAGCCCCTAATGGGTCCGCCCCCAATGAAGGTTGTGATGGGGATGGTGAAATAATTAATGGATGAACAGGGGCGGACCCACATGGGTCAAATAACCCCACGAAATTTTGGCCTTGCTTTTTTTTTTTTTTTTTTTTTTTTTTTTTCCCCCTTTAATTTTGCTTGGTCCATAGTTTTCCTTTTTTTTGTTGTTATTGTGATTTAGAGTGAATAAGAACGTCTATATGATTATTTGTAGCTGTATCGTTACTGTGGATTTTTTCCAGATTGATTGCTTTTATATGTTTGATTGGCTTGTATTATTGGATGCTCTTTAATGTTATTTTTTACTTTTTACAATTGATCTGGGCAATTACTACTTGGACCGTACAATAGTAAGCATAAGCACGATGCGAATGACAGAAACTTCTTACGTTTTCACAGGTGGTGGTAGAGGAGAAGCAGGTGGTTTTCTTTTTCTTTTTCTTTTTTTATAAAAATGCATTTTTATTTTTCACCATTGAAACCTTGAACAAACTAGTTATCTTAATAATCAAACATATCAACAGAGGCCATGATTGACTGTTGATTAATGTACATTAAATTCCATGGATTGTTCAAGAACCCATCAGAAAATCCTTGAAACTCCTCAGCCTGGAACATGTAATTGGTGGCTGGAGGCGTCGTCGCAATAGTTGTAGCGACGGCGACTGTGATACTGTTGATGTAATTAAGGATTTCGTTGAGGGATTGCAGTCTTTGGCTGAGTTCCATCGTTTGAGCCCTCGAGACTGAGGTGGTGTCAACTGTCCGCAGAGATGGAGGATTGGGGAAGATGAAGGAGGAGATGGTTTTTTTCCCCTTTTTAATTGTTTTTTTAATATTAAAATTATAAAGTTACAATTTTACCCTTGCTTTATGTGGTCAAAATTATTATATTTTTAATTTTTGAAGTCAACTAACAGTATTTCGGGTCAAACTGAAGGAAACCGTTAATACGGACTTGAGCTGCATATTTTTGAAAGGTTTGGTACTCACGGTGGCACGAACTAAAGGTTTGGACAAAGTCTACTAATAAACGAAATGTTTAGTACCTCAAAATTTTCCCTTAATATTATGTGGTTTTTAAAAAAATTATTTTTAAAATTTTGACCCCACAACACTAAAAGGCTGAGTCCGCCCTGTGGATGAAGGTGGATATGGTTGGCAAAAGACGTGGGAATTTGGTGAATTGTAATTGCACGTGATGTTCAGATTTAAGGATTTTGTTCTAGCAAATTTTGAATAGTAATGGATAAAAATAGTAGTTAGGCTACCGTTAAGTGCACATAAACTTCAATAGTTGATAAGTGACTACTGAAATCTACATGCATTTACACGTTTTGTCAATTTACATAGATCGAGAAATACTATTATTTGGCCTTTTTTGCGGCTATTTAAGCCCATATTTGATCCTCATTAAATTAAATTAAATTACATTTCATTTTTCTTTCTCTTATTTTCAACCACACAATCTTTCATAAAATAATATTACACGTAAATCGAAAATTTTTCTTCCTTTTTCAACCACTCATTTTTTAAAAAATACTATTCCCCTATTTTCATTTTCAGATAATGGGCATCAAACAGGGGCTAAATATTTATTAACCACTAAAAGAGCTAGATGCAACATAAAATACATGACGAGAAGTACCGTGTCTAGTTAATTTCGATAGCGAAGTCATATTATAAGTATAATAGGTTACTTATAGTTAATTGCACCTAACTAATTTGTCGATAATCTTACATTTAAACATGTATAAATTAACATACTAAACACACTAAAAAACTTCTGGGCAATCGTCAGCACAAAATCATCGTTGAAACATTAATTATTACGATGCGTTCAGTAAGACGAACAAAAGTAAATATTAATAGACAAGTGTAAGGCCATGTTTGGTAGCCTTGATTTTTTTTGGAAAATAGAAAATATTTTCACCCTATTTGTGTTGTTTGATTGCTAAAAATTTTCATGGAATTTGTTTTTCAACTTCCCTCCACACATGTGCCAATTCCATGGTTTCGTGGAAAATCAATTATCACCATTCGATTTCCAGCCACCCTTTTTTTTTGACAATTGGAACAAATTTTATCCCCAATTGTAACAAATTGTCCCTTTAGTTGACAATTTTCATGAAAAACAAAGCCAAACGAACACTAAAAAATAAAAAAATTCAATATTTTTCAAGTGAAAAATTATACTAATCAAATACATTTAATTACCAATTTCTAATAAAAATAAGTTCTAGACAGTTCAATTCCTTAGAATTCGTTTTATTTCCATCCAAATTTCATCATTACAATCAAACGAACCCTAAAAATTTAATTCAAAGTATCTAATCTATTCGAAACTAAATGTCAAACACGACGTGAATAATTTGTTGACAATGACAATAAGGGAATGTGAATGGATTCACACCCGTTGAAAGACACATTTTCGGTTCAATCTTCTGGACCATTTGTACGTGGTTGTGTCCAAAAATCACCTCATACACACTTAGGGGGTGTGATAATAGTATATTAATAGTTTCTACTTAATCATCCGTATATAACTAATTTATAAATTAGTTAAATTTAAACATTAATTTTAACCACACATTATAAATTAGTTAGAACTCTTCAAGAAACTAATTTTCTATTAAGCGTCAAGATTCGTCGTTGATTAGTGTAGACTTGTCGTCAAATTACAATCCTAATTTAATGCACGGAACTCTACAACATAACAACAATAATCATCATGAAAACATCAATATTTTATCTTTTTCGATAACTTTGTCATCGATCTTTCAAACGTATTGAATAAAGGCATAAAATATATTGAACATGATTTTAGCGTGCTCTTCTTTCTTATTCAATACCATTCTGTCTTCTCTATCAAGTACATTGAGTGAAATAAATGTACACCTAGAGAGTTCATGAAATTAATATTTAGCCTCCATTTGATTCTCATTTTTCTAAAAATGAGAATAAAAAATATAGTCGTTACGAGATTCACACAAAAGATAGAAAGTCAAATATTACGGCTTGATGTGATGGATGATTATCATATTTTTCATTTTTGTGGTAAAAAAAGGGGAAACAAACAGGGCCTTAATATTCAAACGAGCAATTGAACGTCAACTATATATCTACACCCTCATTTATGCACCCTAACATTTCAGAGAGTTTTGATCGAATGTTGACAAGAGTGTTCCATAACAAGATAAATCCTAAAAATTTTCTACCTCAAAAATATGTTCCCACATACCTTTGACCAATTAAAATATTTTTAATAAATAAACAACTAAGTATATTTTATTATTTTATTATCTATTCTGCATCATAGTCCTAGATATATATGAATGCTCAAGCAAAAAAGCAATGAAAGCATAACGGCCGTTGATCATGCATGTAGACATAGAATTCAAAGCATAGTGTTCACACATTTAAAGTGGAAACTCAAAAATTTTATCAATTATGTATTCATCTCGAAAGTTTTAGAAATTGAAAGTTTCTTTGTTAAATTGAACACGTATAGACAAACGCTTTTAGTATCATATTAAATAGTATTGAACAAAACAATAATGGAAAAAAGAAAGAAAGAAATTTAAATTTTGATTATTAATACAGTCTAATCCTCAAATGTTCTATAACCAAGTATTCCATTTGTGACGATGTTCGACCAAACTAAGAAATCGCTCATCAAATTTTTTCTTTGCGTTAATGATTGGTCAGTTATATATATCAAAAGTTCTAATATTAAGCTCTCGTTTGATTCTCATTCTTTGGCCATAAAAATGAAAAATATGATCGTTATCCATCATATCAAGCTACCATATTTGACTTTTTATTTCTTGTGTGAGTTTCATAACAACTATATTTATCATTCTCACTCTTACAAAAATGGGTAGCTGATTTAAGAAAATTTCTTCAAATACATTATTGAATGCAACAGAATATTTTAAGTGTTTTTATCCAATTATGTCCAAACCATTAGACTGACAAATGCAAAATAGTCAAGAATTACGACTATGATAGGCTCATGAAAACAAACCATTTGGCGTGCGGAAAATTCCAACCAAAGAAAAGTCAAAAGCACATCCATTTTCTCTATATATATTCCTCCCATTCTTGTGTATGGTATATCTTCAACCACACCTATAATATTCAGCAAAACTTAGCTAGAGGGATGGCTTCAGAATCCTATAAGACGGCTCCTGATACCACCACGTCGTGGGAGAAGGAGGAGACACGGCCACCGGTTGCACCACCACGACAGCCACCGCAGTCGAGAGCTTCGGCAGCCTACTTTGCATTGGTTGATGTGGTTTTGAGATTCCTACTGTTTGCTTCAGCTTTGGCTGCTGTTTTGGTTATGGTTACTAGCAAGCAAACTAAAATAGTTCCAATACCAATTTATCCGTTCCAGGCTCCTGCCTCTGCTAAGTTCAATCATTCGCCAGCTTTCATGTAAGTTCAATCTCTCTCTCTCTCTCTCTCTCCCCCTCTCTCCCTCTCGCCTATGAATCTAATATCTAATTTTAAAAAATAAATATTTGTTAGTTTTTTGTAGTTCATTAATTTTTAACCATTCATTTCATCAATTTTTATCAAAAATTTTGTCAAACAACCTCTAACTATTATATAAATCAAGTATCTAATTTAAAAAATAAAAATTGTTCTTAGTTGGAACATGCAACAAAGTGCAAAGAAGGACAGTTTTTTTGTTGAAAATTTTTCAAAATAAAAATTATTAAAGTATAGAAAACTTTTTTCTTTTTGAGTTTGAGAAATGTTTTTTTTTTTTCCAGAGTTTTTGAATAGTATTGATTTCGAATACAAAAGGCTAGCGTTTCTGAAATGTCAAAGTTTTGAAATGATTGTACAAGTTACAATCGGTATAAAAGTCAAAAGTTTTGAAATTAAGTATTGAATAGTTTAAATTATAAACGGTGGTAAATAAATATGTAGTATTTAAAGTTCCCACAAAATGTGTGAATAAAAAGTTATTTGAATGTGTATAAGTTTCTAAACATATAAGTTACATAATCTTTAATTTATAAATTAAATTAAATTAAATTTTTTTCTCTTATTTTCAATCATACAATTTTTCATAAAATAATATTATACGTAAATCGAAAATTTTTCTTTTTTTTCAACCTCCATTCTCCAAAAAAAAAAAAAAAAAAACTATTTCATATATTATAACTTGAAATAATGGAGCCAAACGGGGCTTAATAAACAATTTACTTATTTTCAATTTTGACCAAGAGGAATTTGTATGTTAATCATAACTAGTCATCATTGTTGACTTCTTCTTTTACAATGGGTCCCACATGCTAGCAAGCAAGGTGCAAAAAATGAATTCTTCCCTTCCAACCATTGGAAACAAGCAGGGGGCTAAACTTACTTATGATTAAACTTTTTGAGGCTTATCCAAACACGCACCATGGGTGTTATAGTTTTATTACAAATTGATTAATAACTTTAGTTATGATTATAAGCTAATTCCATATTGAAAATCCCTTATGCAGATACTTTGTAGCAGCACTTTCTGCTGTGGGCTTTTACAGTATTATTTCCGGTCTCTTCTCCTTGTTTGCCCTCTTGAGGCCTGGTAGCTTTCCAAAAGTGGTGTCTCATTTTCTCATATTTGATGTAGTAAGTTTAGAGTCCTTATGGTTCGATCTAGTCCGATTCTTTTTCGAGCCTCGTGACTTTAAAATTAAAATGTGCTAACCCGTCTTAACAATGTTTGTGCAGCTATTCTTGGGAGTCGTAGCAGCCGCAACTGGAACAGCGGGCGGAGTTGCCTATATAGGTTTAAAAGGCAATTCTCACACTGGATGGAGAAAGATTTGCAATATCTACGACGAGTTCTGTAGGCATATCGGAGCTTCCATTGCTGTGTCATTGGTCGCTTCCATTTTGTTGGCATTGCTCGTCTTGTTCTCGATTTCCTCCCTCTCCAAGAAAATCCCCAGGTAGAGGAATCCCTGGTCCTCATCAGTCGAATGTGTTAAAGTATGTTTGAAATGTAATGTCCGATACAACTGATCGAGATTTTAGTTTTCCCCCCCCTTTCATAATATTGTGTAATACAATAGAATTCGACGTGCCAAACATAGACGTTTGTATCTTGTGAAAAGTTGGATTTCATGTCAAGTATGTAACTGTTTGATAGATCTAGGATTCGGTTTGTAAAGTTATTGTGTTATGCAGTTTGTTTAAACATAATGATTGTCAGCTTTCATGGTTCTAACTGTTTGATAGATCTAGTATTCGGTTTGTAAAGTTATTGTGTTATGTAATTTGTTTAAACATAATGATTGTTGGCTTTCACGTTCAATTTCAATTAGCAAATGCATAGTTAATTATAAAAATCGGTTCAGATCAGAGAGTTTGACCAAAAAACCAGTTGGTGGACCGGTCTAGTTCATACTTCATAGAATTTGACCGTGAATCCAAGGCTTCTATTATTATTGTTAGAGAAAATTAGGTCCAATTTTACAATTCCATGGAAGGATGAAAAAACAAACATCATCGCCACAATTGACAACGCACGACTTCATCTTTCACGCCTCTGAATTTTAATCCATACCTGAGTTCCATATCATTATCTAATCGCGGAATCAATGGCTCGAAAGATCAAAATCAAGATGTTCATGAACGGATTGTGGTACGGACTTCCGCCTCAAGTTCAAAAAATTATAATAATAATGATACTCAAACAGAGATTGCAAACAGGTGTTGAGTTGTCAGCACCTTAGTGGGTAATTTTTTATTTTTTTTTTAATTTCAAATTGTCCAATAACGCTGCACGTCTGCACCCAATCTCACTCTTTTTTAACCCTATCATTGAGTCTGTTTGTATGTGATTGCAATTATAAATCTAGCTGCAATGATAGTGCGAATTTGGTTTTGTGGCATGGTGGCGGATGATGGAGAAAGGTGGTGGTCATGGTGATGATAGTGAAATAGTTGGTGGTGATGAGTTCAATTATAGATCTCTATTTTTCGAAATGGTGATTTTTTATTTAGCTTGTCGATATATGGTGATTCTTTTGATAAAAGATAGTGGTGGCTAGTAGTGCTTATATAATAATTTGGGAAGGCCGTAGCTTAGTGGTGGACTTAGACCCTTGGTGTTGTGGGGTAAAATTAAAGTGCAATAAAAAAAAAAAAAATATATATATATATA